TCATAATAAATATTGTTGCGGTCATATTAATGATTTCTTTAATATGGGGGAGTGTATGAATGTGACTACTGATTTAACTGTGTGTGTAAGTTATTCTTTTTTGTGGCTAAGTGACATTTCTTTACTTACAGCCATGTTTTATTTTTGTATTTAATGGAGCTGTATTGTATTTTTAAATGTTCTCGGGACTATATCTGTTAGTTGGTACACATTTTAGTGTAGTTTGGCCACCCAGTGATTGTTTCTAATACATATTTGTATCTTTCTAGTGACCAACCTCTACATCATAAACATCTCAGAGAAACAGTGTATGGCTATTTTCTTGTATTTTATCCAGGAAGCTTGACATTGAGATTATGTATAACACGTAGACTTTTTTAATTGGGTCGTTGAGCCTACAAAATGTCTATTTAAATTATTGTTTCATACAACAATGTTGTATTTCCAAATATTGGTTCTCAATGGTAATGAGACTTTTTTTGAAAAAAGTCAACAATTTTCACCTGACAAACTGCCAGATGACCAGACATTATTTAAAACAAACCCCTCAGGTTAGTGACCTAGACAAAGACAAGTAGTAAAATGTAATGCCCACACCTGTCTGTTGTAATCCACCTCAGTTTAAAGTCCAACTTCCCTGATTAACTCTGACGTGGTGTATTTACTGTAAACCATGTGACTTTTTCAAGAAAAGGATCCCTTACCTGAAAGACGGGCCCACAGCCTACTAAAATGTTGGTTCATACAAAACTGGGCCTAAAATAACATGAAATGCATCATGTACATTCATTGTCATGCATTAAAAAAACATTTTATACAATACTAAGTAATTTAAATAATGATACGTAGCCAGGGAGTTCACTGTTGCGGATAGGTACTCTATGGGGTTAATCTTAGATAAGCTAGCTATAATTATTGCAAGGATTCATGAAACAGTGAAAGGATACACACTATGAATGATATCTGTGTTGTGTAAATTCAATTAGTTGGATTTTTATTTGACAAAATAGTAAGATTAAAAAACTTTAATTTGGGGGGCCCCCTGCAGTAATTCCGAAGAGCCCCTAAGGGTCACGGACTAATGTTGAAAACTGTAGCAGTTGAGAGTTTTACGGTACAATAAAGGTTTATTACGGACATTTCAGCTGAACCAACTGTCACTTTAACCATCATGAAACGTTTGCTTCATAAAACAAGTCACAACCTGTCTGCTTGTTGTAGCGAGGTTGCCATGTTCCTAGATATTTATTTTTGTGAGAACAATGTTACCATAACTGATAAAAATGATGGTCATAAATTAAAAGAACAAGATAAGGTGAAATGTTCCTTTTGTTTTGCCAGATTTATACATATGAGCTGATTATTTTTCAAATCTACCTTGCAGCAAGCTTGATTCATGTGATGAGCTGATGCAGGGAAACTGATTGTGATGAGGCAGAAATCTTTAGGAAACTACGTCTGCGGCACTGCAGCTCAGAAGGAGTAGGAGGAAGCTTTCACAACAGATGTTCAGGCCCTGCAAGCTAACAGGAATCTGCAGTGCGTTGTAGGTCTCCTGTGGCCTTGTGATATGCTTCTCTTTCATAACAGAGTGAACATTCATATGTGAGGCAGATTCCACGAAACTTGTCTGTGAAAGTTTCTTATCTTCCCTCTTTTTTTGTTTTGTGTTTTTTTTCTTGTTGTATGTATTTTCCGTTTCAGGAGCTCATTTCTTTTCCACAGAATCCCACAAACTGATAGCACACTCAGCAGAAAAGCAGAAAAGGTGTTTGATATGTGCAAACACACGTTCCTGTGTGGTAAATATGGTGAGATTGTTTGTTCATTGGTGATGAGCGGCAGAGACGAAGTTCAGTCTTAAATTAGACAGTTTCAGTAAGCCTGCCTGCTCCTGGTTCCAGAGAAACTGACACACACAAACACAGTTCTTTGAAAACCCTCCCCCACACTTGTGTTTTCACACTTAATGACAAAAACATAAACCACATTTCCCCTGAAGCCAACACAAAGACAGGAATGGGTTGACCTTTTTTTTTTTCAAACTGACTTTGGGAGACATGAAATAGAGACACACTCGCCACCAGTAGCCAGACATGTTTTCTGTGGCTTGATCTCTCCTGATATGCTGAAACTGCTTGCCTTTGATGCTGGTCAAGTAATAATTAGGGGAACTACAGCATTTCTGGGTTACTGAAACAAGTTATGACGCAGTTAAACAGACAGATAAACATGCCCACTAACTCATGGATCGGTGTGAAAACAGTTAAGTGTGAAATGACGCAAGAATACAAAATAATCTTTTGTAATCTCTTGTAAATCAGGTTATGATTTATAATATGATTCCGAGATTCAAAACGTAACATGTTAAATTTCAACATATTGTCTAGTTAATTGCATATTGTTATGGTGATAATTTACTAATCTCCAGCCTGCTGAACGACTGTCTGAAAGCGAATGTGCGCGGGTCAGCAGGATGGCGTCTTTGACTGTGGCGAGGAGCCAGAGCGTTTAAGCCTGCAGCACCTCTCCATATTGTTCTGTCGGCCACACAACAAAACCAGGGCCTCCGCTGCAAAATACAGCCAAGAGCAGCACCGAGCAGCAGACAAACTGAGCAGGTCAGGGGGCCGTTGGTTTACCAGTCGGTCAGTCATACACGCATTTCTTTGTTTGAATTCGGGTTGGTGTTTGGTGATATGTCTCAAAAAATGGCCAGCAACAAGGAGGCCGGACCTTTGGATATCACGACAGCAGCCCCAGAGGTGAGTTTTGGTCCATCCAGATTTCTAATAACTACTTTTTTGTGATGTTAGGCATCTTAATATATTTTGTTAACTATTCAAATGTGAATGCTACAAGACACTTAGGGTGATGGTATAAAGTCCAGACAGGACCAGGAGGAGAAACGGATCCTGACCGCCTGGCAAAGCATGGTGAGTACACAAGGAAAGACATTCCTTGTAAATGTATACATTTCAATCTGACCTACATGAACATTTATAACATTTACATGGGGTGTAGCGATATGTGTGTTCAATGAAACGCACGTGCTAAAGAACAGTGAATCTAACAGTTGGAGCTGAATGAAACAACATTTTTTATTTTATCTTTTTAACTTGATCTTTCGCATGCCTTTTTTTCTTTTGGTAAGTAGACTTGGTAAATGCACTTTTGCCCTTTTATCTATGGGTAGGACTTGGACAGCCAAGTGCTTTCTCTGATATAAGAAGTACCATTATACATCAATGGCTTCCCACAAGTCAGACACTCGACGCTGCCTGACTTTCTGTAATGTAGCTGTTTGCAGCTTTTGATGTTTGTAGTGTGACCATAGCATTAAAAGGATTGAGTCATGGCCTTGATTTATGCATGCAGTCGAGTCACATATAGAAAAATGCCAATATGGCTCCAAGGCATGTGTAAGTAATATTCTACACATTCATTGGTATAGTAGTAGATGTAGCAGCAGCATTCTTCATTAATGAAAGCATGTGTCAGTCCTGACTAGCTGACAGGTGTTTGGCCTCTTGCAGTCCTCAGCTCTGCAGCAGAACAGTGTGTTTAAGGACTACAAAGCTCCTGGCCAAACAGAGACAGTCCACCCAGGCCAGGAGGGCGCTCTCCCTCCGGCTGCAGCCCATCCACCTGGGAGGAGAAACGGAGGCATGCAGCCCACAACTGGGCATGATGGAAAGCAAGATTGTGGAATGAGGGTGAATTTGTTTTATTAAAGGTCCCATGTAATGGCCATTTCTACTGATCATAATTCCATTGTTGAGGTATACTAAAATAGATTTATATTGTGCAATTTTCCAAACTCACATTGGTTTCTCATACAGCATCTCTGTATAGTATGTGTATTCACTCTCTGTCCTAAACGGCTTGTTGGAGCTCCTTGGAACTTCCTTTATAACCTCCTTTAGCTTAGGAACCACTGGACCTCCCTTTACTAAAGGAGAGGATAAAATGCTGCCCCACAATGCCTTGCGGCCGCAGCATTTGCCATCACACAACAGCCGGCCGTTCACGGAAACCACCGATTATGACCGAGAAATGATATCATGAAAGTTACGGTGCTTATTAAGCATTTTAAAACGGTAACTTGCCAAAGTGCTTTGTTTTGATCAGTATTCATCAGTATTATAATCAAAAAGAGAAATATGAACATTAGTTTTTACTGAAATTATCAAATAAAGTCAACATTTCACAGTCTTTACCGAGCTGTGTGGGGTTTGTTAAACTTTTAAAAGATGTTTGAATGGTGATATACACTGACGTTTATAATAAATACATCTGTATTGATTTTAAGATCTTTTCATAGTTCATACAATCATACATATTGTGATCATTTGTATTAATGTGGACCGGAGGGAGAGGGTGACGAGCATAAGTTTCACTTTCCTTTTTTATTTCGATTCCAACTTTGGTCATGAAGAATATGTTTCTCTGTTGTCCACGTTCATAAAGCATAAAACCACATCCATTTGGACGTAATGGCTCCGCGGGCGTAACGTAACAGTACGTCACTATACCCAAATACGTCACTGTACCCAGGAAGAAAAAGAGAAATCTCCAACGAGGCGTTCTGGGGCAGCATAGACAGGTCTTTTCTGTGTTAGAGTTTTACAGGGTGTACTTTGAGGGTTTGTGACTCTGCAGACCGTTTACATGCGTAAAAAGCTATATAACACACAAGGGGACCGGTAATAACCATAGACTGTATATAACCAGAAAAGCATGACATGGAACCTTTAAGTCACTGCTGTGCTCTATTTGGCTTGCTGCTATCACACTCTGCTGGTCAATGTTGGAACTGGAGTGATATTTGGCACTTATTAGAATGTGTCATAATAAAGTATTGTTTTTGTCTGTTTTATACATAAATGTGTGTTAATAATCACCACATTGTCTGCTCCATTCAGTGTTGTATAGTTTTTTACATTTATTTTTGCAGGTAGGATACATTTTCATTTAGAAATTATGCAAAACCTTAATTATAACTTTTCATGTGGTCATTAGTGTAAAAAAGTCAGGTAATCTCATTCTCTTCATTCAATATTTGTTTAAATTAAGTAACAGACATGCATTAGTAATCATTCTATTTACAGTCAAACAATCCAAAAAAGTAAGCAAAGAAAACTGTAACCCATTTGTCATTTCAGCAGCATTTTTTCAGTCCAAATTTTGATTAATGCTAAATATAACAACAGACTTCTGATGTTACAGGCAATAAATTGTTATACTACAATATTATGTGCAGATAACCAGAATATTTTACTTTACACACACATAAGACTTGTATTTGAAGCCCGTTTTTCTCCTATTTATCTTCTTTTTACACATATAGCTTCAACCTGTTTAGCACAAATGTTCCTTACAGCAACTCCAACAATCACATGTTGTTGTTATTTTCTGTATCTGACAACAGATATAAGGAGCAACTAGGTAAATTAGCCTACTATAAGCTAGCTTTTTGAACAAACTATCTTAATTATTAAGCTATCATAATTATCAGGCTAGCTTATTACATCTCTAAAGTCCTGTCTCACAGTGAGGTTGTTGACTCTCGCAACTAAACCTAGGTGACAATTGAATGCATTGGTGTGTAACATGCTAGCTGCTTAGACACCGAGTAAAATTGTAAGGGATTGCTTCCTCCTTTTTTGATGGAGTCCAATCAGAAAACCCCTGTCTCTAGTTTAAGTTCTAAGCTAGGCTAAACTAGAATACAACTTGTCTAGCCTAGCTTAACACAAACTTGTAATGTCTGTATTGAATGAACAGAAATGTTTGTTTTCATACAGACTCAGTAAGACATGATTCCTCCTATGTCAACGTTTTCCTATGAAATTGGAAAAACTGATAACTCTGGTCCAAAAGTTTATAGATTCAAAGTAGACGTGCAAGCTCATTTTTGTATATATTACAAATTTTATCCATAAAAACGTGCAATGGATCGATCATTATGGTTTCAAACAGCCAAAAGTTAATGGGAACATCACCACCCCATGTCCATCTAAGACCCAGTGAGCTCTGATCCCATACTCACACTGCGAAACCGCTGAGGTTCGTTGTGAGATGGCACGGTGAGGAAAGACTTTTTGTTTCCACCAAGAGGAGGTTTGGGGATAGTGGGCACAGCTCTATTGTGGTTGATGGCCGGCTGGGAGCTGCTGTGCACCAGACCGGAGTCGGCAGCCGGGTGAAACGTGAAGGCAGAGCGGTGACGGGAAGTGAAGGGAATTGCTGATGCTGAACGAGTGGACGTCTCTCTGGAGGACTGGGGGGGACGTAGAAGCCGTGATGAAGGAGCTTGAATCTCCCCAACTGTACTTTCTACTTCCTCTCTTTCCTCCCTTATGTACAACTCTTCATCGCTCTTCTCCTCGACTTCACTCATCTCTTTCTTCTCATTGAAGACAGAATGACGTTGCCTCTCGGTGTTCGCACCAAAATGAACCTCCAGCAGCGGTGTCCTCAGGCCCTTCTCGTCCCTGACACTGCACACGGTGCTCTGGGTGTCCTGCCCCAGACCTGACGGCAGCGACCCACCTTTACCTATTTTAACACTTTCGTCGTCGTCATCATCATCATCGCTGGTGCATTGGTCGATGCTGGGGGAGTGGCGTAGCCTCTGGAGTTGTGCTGAGGTGCGACGAAGAGCCCCTCCCATGAGTCCAGTGGGGGAAGGGGCGGCGTTGAGTAGGCGGTTGAAGAGGGCCATGTTGGGGTGATAACTGCCTGACTCCTCCATGTTCTCAGCGATGTCCTCCAGAGGCTGGAAGTGCATCTCCTCCTTAGGGATCCTGTCAAGAGATGTAGTGACATTTTACCTTACAATTGCATGGATATACCTTAACAGTTTATTTCTATGATTGGTTATTTTCACCTTCTCAGCCCGGATAACTTCCAACCACCTCTTGAATTGAGGCTGAATACTTTCACTTTCATCACCCACATTTTCCCAAACATTGGGGAGGATTACAATCAAAAGTATTACTGTCACAAGTCAGGCACACACGAAAAAGGTAAAACCCAGAGACTTACGCCATGTCGAAAGTGGACCCTTGGAAGGAAGGTTTGCGGAGGACAAAGAGAGTGGCGGCAGTGTAGGGAGGTCTGGGGTTGGAGTCGTTCCAGTATCGATCTCTCTCCATCATCGGCAGATCTCCGTACATCTCATCCACCGCCATCATGGACACCTGCAGAGAAAATGCAAACAGCTAATTGTGTGTGTAACTTACTAACACTAGGGTTATCTCAAAACAGTAACATAAGTTGGAGTTTGGTGGCGGTGTCTTCACCACCATTGGTGTCATTGCAATCAGCTTGTCCCGGTTAGGATTCCTTTATTGATCATTGTGCAGTAGGGTTTTAACGGGCAGCCAAATTCTCCTTTGAGATCTCTCCCTCTTCAAAACTGGTGAGTAAAACCGGCTAAGAACACTAAAAAAACGCAGTTTCACGTTAAAAATCAAAATGCCCCAGCAAACATAGGATGGAACATAAGCTAACTGCTAACATCAGCTCAGCCTGTCTCTCTGATAACTTAACATTCAGACATCCAATGACTTCAATCCTTCACCCGGTTTTAAAATCTAAGAGTGCATTGTGAAGATAGGACTTGAAACTGGATAAATAGTCAACTATGAAGCCAATCGACCCCAAAGCAAACACACGGGACACAAGGTGTGGGCAGAAATCTCCTTTGAAGGCGACCAAATTAAAACAAGATAAATAATAAAAAAGATATGGATTCCTCTTGAAAACTCTAGTGTATTGTATAAAATATATAACATAGGGCAAGTTATTCTTTGGAAATTTGAATCTGGAAATGTTATATAATGTATTTAATATATATTTAAGTAAAGGCATGATTGAGCCGGTGAGGACACTACCTACTGACTCAGCAATCACTGTAAGTTATATTCTTGTTTAAATAGACTTCTCTGTTTCATTTATTCTACTCTGTATAATTGTTCTGTAGTTATTGTAGCTAAAACGGCGATTTCTGAGAGATTTTAAGTCTCAGATCTGCTCAACTCAACCTGTAACACAGAATAATAATAATAATAATAATAATAACAGAATATATAGGTAAGGTGTAACAATAGAAAAAGAAAGAAAAGGCAGCAGTAACATCAAACAAACCTGGAAATTTCTGTCTATCAACCAGTTGGTCTCAAAGTCATCATCATCTTCTCCAAAAGGGTTGATCAGCTGCTCTGCGACCTACAGGACAAAACAGGACGTGTTACAAGCTAACTACATGGATTATTGATGTGATCCTGGTCTTGTGCACAGATAATAAAATATATGACATGTGACCCTCTCTCTGACCTTGAGCCATCCAGCGTAAAAGAAGAACTGCAGCAGGGTGAAGATGGGCACATAGAGGTCGAGGTCATGGCCCGGATAGCCTTGATTTGGGTCCAAGAACTGTCGACCAATCAGACACACCAGGAAAAAACTGTACACCGCTAAAGTCACCACCTGTGGGAGAGACGATAACATGGTATTAGTTTTTAAGTCCACAAAGCAGACACAAACAACAATATGTTATTAGATGTTTTGTAGCCTATTGAAAAAAGTCTGTAAAGAACAGCTTTGTAATAAAGCCCACTGTTTTCAAAGTAAATTATTTTATGGAGATCAGTTTCTGTATCTTACAAAAGCTAAAGCAGTGGAAAGTTTGTCTCAAAACTCTGTGTGTTTAAAAGCCAATCCAAACTGAAAATTGAGATCCACAAATTAGATTAACAAATGCCTGATCAAAAGTTGTGATATCCACAAATGCTTTTTGTTTTTTAGCGTACAGACTTCAACAGGTTCCACATATTTTATACATTATTGGTGACGTATGGTTTTAGTCAAAAAGTTTGCAGTCAAAATATTCTGCTGCTTTCCCAAGCCTTTTTACTTTCTTTTCTCTTCTTAATACACATTCATTCACTACTACTTACATCTGATATTTAACTCCTTCAGCCTATTTTCAGCTGCAGAAACCATTCAACTATTACATTATTCAGCTATTTCAGGACATCAAGGCTATACATGTTGTTGTTTATACCTTTTTTAAAACCTTTTCTTTTAAATATTAAGCTTTTTCTGCATTTTTTATAAATAAATGTTCACAGTTTACAGCATTCGCACGCATTTTCTGCAGGAAATGCATTTTCTAGTTGGCGACTATTGGTCAACTTGAAAAATGTTAAGTCGAGTGCAGCCCTAGCGTCTACTTTCTCTTCTGATTTTAACTGTATACATCCCTTCCTGTGCTCTAGGTTTTTGAAGGAGTTCAAAGACTGGGCACCATCCTTCAACAGATGCAAACATCCGGCAACATGCTCTTCAGGGATTGGCATGCTGAGGTCAAATGCTGCCCACAACAGCAGCAGCCGTGCATCAAAGCCACCTTCTTATCCCTGCGGGGTAAAGAGATGGCGTACTACGGCGAGGTGACCGAGCAGCTGCAAAAGCTGACTCACTCCATGGATAGCTGCAAAGACGAATGGTGCTCCTTCATCAGTGAGATGCGCTCCTCCTTTAACTTGTTGAACCACTACACCTCAGAGCAGATGGTGTACCTGTGCCACTGGATACACAAAGTGTGTCAACGACAACGTCATGCGCCAGTTCCTCCACAGTTATGGCTTTTACTTTTCCCCATAAAGCCTCAGTGCACTCCTACTGATGTCAAAGAAGCTTACATTAATGCAGCAAGTATTCATTCAAAGCATGATGAGGAAGAGGAAGATGTTGAGTTTGTGAATGAAGATCAATCGGTTCCTTCTATGGACTCAACACCAGCTTCACCGGGACACAGTGAAGAGGACAGGGAGGAGGTTCTTGATTTGATGGATTTTTCCTCAGAGGATGAAGATGATGGTGTCTTGAAGTGTCATGATGATGCTGCAGAGGGCGCCCTACCCGGGCACACTGATGACAAGATGAACTGCGATGAAGACAGTCTTGAAAAACTCTGGTGTAAATTCAAGAACAACATGCCACAGTACCTCGACGAGCACTTGGACATCCCATCTCTTGCCAATTTCCTCTCATGCCTCTCTGAATTGAACCAGGAACAGACCATAAGAAATCTTCCACTGGTTCTCCAGGAGGGAAAACCCAATCTTGTGATTTGTCCCAGTGCAGAAGTTTTTACCACCATCCTGTCTTTTTACATGCAGAGTCCAGATCAACCTCTTCCATCTACTGATGAGGTTCTAGTCTGCAAAGAGGAAACCACAGAAGAGGAGGTGGAGATTTTTCTCCGCCGAGCCCTCGGTCAGGGCTCAGAAGGAAACTGGGAGAAGATATACTCTCTCGTCAATCCAGGGCTGCTGGGATATGATGTCAGTGAGGCCTCTGGGGAGCTCTTTGAGTTTCTTGAGAGAAGTGCCAACCCTCATTATCGCCTGATTATAGTCAGTCCGGTTGAGCACCAGCACAGATATGTACCCTCTTTCTTCAGCAATTTCAAAGTACAGGCTGGCATGAATCTAACAGCAGAGACTGCCAGGAAATATCTACATCACCACTTCACACAAAACATCCCACAAAACCCTGTCACAAAGGTTTCTCCTGATAAGCTCTCAGTCTGGATGGTGTCATCTATACGCCCTGCAGTTGGTAAGGATGTCCCTAACTGTTATGCCATTATGATAATGCTTATCCAAAGAGGCACATGTTGAATCAGTTTTTTATGTAAAAAATATTGGTTAAATGCTATCATTCAAAGTTCCATAAACACATACAGTTACAATATTCAAGTTGTTTCATGAAACATTTATCCTGACGGAATACATTTGTTTTGTTTTTCGATAGGAAAATCCCTTTTTGTGGATCGTTTGTTTGAGAAGTTCCAGCAGAAATCTCCCAGAGCAAAACATATCAGGATCAGACTGATTGAGCCATGTGTTGATATGGACTCCTTGATAAAGACTCTTTCAGAGAAACTTGTCCCCTTGAGAGAGCAGGACCCTTGCATCCTGCACATAGACATGGCTGGAGTAAGTATGCACAGCTGTTTGTCTTGGCAGATGCCTTGTTCTGTTGATGGTTGTACTTGAAAGTCTGTCTTTTTTCTGTACTGTTGTTACCCTTTAGGTCCGTTCAGGTCTAGAGGAGCTCCTGTTCCATCTGTTGGTACTGGGCTGTTTGAGTGACAGCCATGGCATGTTGTGGAGAAGAAATGTTTCTCATTTGATTACAGTTGAGGTCCTGAGAACATACAAATCCACTCAAAACCAACCAAAAGAGGTATTCATTTATTTTTATTTTTAACTGTCAGAAAATGCTGCATTAAAAAGTCATGTTATATGGATCTTTAGACCTCAAAAAGGCCCAATTATGCTTTTTGGGTTTTCCTATTCCTGTAGTTTGTTATATAGTTTCTTCCACCACCTTGTAAAGCTAAGGAGCTCGACATTCAGACACATCACTAAGCGCTTGACCAATCTCAACAGAGCTGGCGCAGTGGTTCCCACAGCCTTTTTTGTCTCGTGTACCCATTGACCTGGTCGCAATTCTAGTACCCTCTCTCATCTGTGATGATTCGATGAGAACTGTTTGCAATCGTATTCAACCTAACTGCTCCTTGAATGAAAATCACTTGTATAACTCAACCTTAATACAAATGCATTTAAACTTGTTTAAATGTACACTTATTGTGAGTGAAAAAAATATATGTTAAGACTCACTTCTAGCAGTTTGAACATCTTTTGATAAGATTAGAGCTTTCAATTAGACACTTGGGCTTCCTTGTGGTTCCTAAGCTTTGATAGTTCTGGGGGCAGGACACCAGTTTTAAGAAACTTGATTTAAAATTGTTTTTTTGTGGAAATATATTGCAACCCCTAATCTTTCTATGTACCCCCTACAATCCCCTCAATTACCCCGGGGGGTCCTCGTACCCCCAGTTGGGAACCACTGAGCTACCAATCAGAGCAGACTTGGCTCTAGTTTCAGGCAGAGGGAGAAAAGAGCTGCGGTAGCACAGGCAGTATGAGAAAAATACAGACCTTTTTTAACAATGAACGCATGTAAACATGCCACAGTAGAGGCACAAGATACAAATATGAAACTTAAAATGTGCATAATATGTCCTCTTCAACATCTTTAAGCTCTGTCAAGTTACAGCTTTTAATGACAGCATATTTCTATAATTGGTCCTGAGGCGATACGAACGTTTTCAATTAAGGGGTTTTGCCACTTTCAAATGTAAAGCCAAACA